TGTTAAGATGATGACCTTACGTGTGTACATATATTTTTTTCTTTGTGGGGGTCTGCCCTGAGAAAGTCAAATAAGATGGTGTGTAAAACTACACTGCCCAGACAAAATAAGTAACCACTTTGATTTAACTAGGCCAGTAGGTAAGGGCATTCTACTGGATAATAATACCCCTGCATTATAGCAACAACAATAATAATAATAATAATAATAGCAATAATAATTGGGAGGGGGGGGCGCGGCTGTTCTTATATTCTCTGAGGGGAGGCTCACCTTCCCACACTTTGAAAACCCCTGGTGTATAGTAAATCAGGGTGTTACCTGTGCCTGAAGTCTCGGCTACTTTGATTTTCATTTGTTTTGCTCTGTGCAGCCGATGATTTTTAATATTTAATTCTCCAGGCTAAAATTATGTTGTTTCTCACTACAACTCAGCTGTGGGCAGAATATAATTTGCATAAGAAGTACTGATGTGTCTTTTTTTCTATGACCCTTGCACTCATCAGTTTGTTGACACAGAACTTATTTGCTATGTTAGTTTGTTTGCACTTTTGTGCAGTCTTAAGTAGGATGGTACTTGGCAGCATCTGGAGGCCGTACTTTGTCAGGCCAACTTAATGTGGCTGCGCGATCCTAACTGACCTACTGCATTAAATATTAATATTGCACATTGCTGGCCTCATCACCATCTTCCTCCTTACCCCCATCTATTTTAATTATTCTGCACACTAGCTATATCCTCTTCTTTTGTGCTGCCCAATGTCATCTGCTCTACCAGCTTTACTATTATTGTTCCCTGTCTTTTGTCTGCTTATTTTCTCTTTTTATCCACCTTCACTACGTGTGGGACTCAGCTCCTCCTCATGCATCCCACATGATATTGTTTCACAACGATTTCTAGAAATGTGTCAGTTCCTTTCTCATTAGCCTGAATCTGTACAACTCTCCCCACACTTCGTACTTTCTTCATCTGATTGCTGTAAACAATAATGAAATTTGACACGTGTGTGTGAGTGTGTGTGTGTGTGTGTGTGTGTGTGTGTGAGGGGGGATATAAAAGTGAGATGCTTTTCTTGGTGGTTTATTATTTAATGGTATGCCGGCTTAAGAGTAAAGATATATTTTGAGGGGCCTTTGTGCATGTTCACATGACCATTTGTGTGTGTGTATGTGCGCTGTGTGCATGCGTGTGGGTGTAGTTGAAACTGTACATGAAGTTCACTATATTTGTATAATTGATGCACAATGTCATCAGTAAATCTCTAGGTACGGTATGTGGGCTATAGTGTGTGTGTGTGTGTGTGTGTGTGTGTGTGTGTGTGTGTGTGTGTGGTATTTGTGCATTATTCATATGTGAGCTTCATGGTGGACTTGTGTGATTTGATGAGAAGATGCAGGTCTGTGTCAACGTCTCTTTTTATCCTTTATAATTCAGCAACCAGCAGTAACTATCGTCGCCCCCCCCCCCCCCCCCCTCCACTTCTCAGTCTTCTTAAAAGACTCATTCTGAATTCCCCACTTGCCTTCCATCCTTTCCTCTCATCTGCTCTTACATCATCTCCTCTGCTCCTCAGATTGAGGAGGTATTCAAAAGGAAATGTGTGAAAAAGTCCACTGAGAGCTTAAATAATATATTCATTAATAATAAAGGTGTAAATGTTAAAAGCATGTTATGAGTGTGTATGACATGTAGTACCACCCTCTGCAACATCTTCATCTTGTCAGCACCTCAGTGTATGCTATTTGTTACAATCTCACTTTTTAATTGGCTGTTTTTTTGTTGAGCACCATTTTGGGTTATTAGTAACTGTTTATGATGTACCCTCACTTTTTACCACCTGATGTGGCTCCTCAGTGGGCACATGTAGTTGAAGGCAAGATAATGTATGTTTGTATTAGGCTTACTTTATTGATATAAAAATCGATGTTGGTATTCATTTAATTTGTAAAATCCCCACAGTGCAAGATGACATTTTCAAAAATGTGTGTTTTGTCTAACTAGCAATCCCAAACCCAAGGCAGCAGTAAAGAGCAACACATCATCATATTCATGAAGCAGCAAATGTTTGGCATTTTTGCTTGATCAATGAATCCAGCTTATTATATAATAGCCGCATAATCATACAAGTTTTAAACAAACCTTCAGGTGAAACATATTGTGAAGAGAAAAATAAGGAGAATGGCAAAAATAGTTACTCAAAATGTCTTAAAGGTGGGGTATGTAATTTATTTCAGAAACACTATTTGTTATATTCCATGGAATGCTCTTAACATCCCGATAGCAATGAATATATTAAATGCTTTGACAATAAATACATAAAAAAATGTCATCTGTGGAATCATTTTAGCCGGCCCGGCTAAAATAACTGGATGGCCTACCTGCCTGTCAGCCTTCCATCTGTGCACAAACTTATCTCGTGCCCTCATTGGTCATGTGCGCGTTCGTGTGTGTGTTGGAGGAGGGGCTCTGTAAGGAAGTGGCAGATTTTTTCCGGTTGTTTACTTTCAAATTCTAGCGCACTCGAGCTGGTTTCTCCAAAATTACCTACCCCACCTTTAAGATGTACTGTAAATATCCTGTATATCCTAAGTCTATCATGCTTAGTCCTATCGTTATGCCCTGCAGTCGGTATGAGGCTGTGCCGTTATAAATTTACTCTGATCCATGACAGGCAACACTTTTGTCCAGCCTTGACCTAATGTACATTTAATAAGGTGACTTTAAATCATACCCTTACCTCAGCAAAGAGCAGATTCCCAGCGGTGTGGCTTAATATTTACATTGTCTTTGTGAGTTTTACCTTTAGTAGCTTCTCCATCTGGCTTTATAGAAAGCTGATCTGTAGTTATACAAATATACTGTCAGAAAACTGTTACACACTATTCTCTGACCTAATGCACTATTAAACTGTCCTTGAATCCAAGCCATACAAAAAAAAAGATAAGAGTACGTTCTATACTTGACCTATTAAAAGCTTTTTTTTTGTATAGATATTGCGATATCAGTAGTCCAGACATCATCAATGTGCACTCACTCTCGGTTTTTACCTCTTAAAAGTGGTCTATATAATCTAATAACATGTTGTCCTTTTTTATGTAACTTTAATGGGAATACAGTTTTTGTATCCTAATAATGTAATCTTGTTACATGTAATCTGACACTTCCCGATCTTCATTGGAATTTTCCTTTAAAAAATCAACAGTTAGTTTTTTAAACACTGATTTGTATGGTGCTGTTGGTTGGACTCTTGCATGTGAGTTGGTGTGGATGCATGTTTGTATCTGTGTGTTGTTATCTGCATACAACTGAGGACATGCCTGTTGCCACACAGAGGAGAAAGGTTTCCTTCTGAGTCAAATATAAAGCCACACACACAAACACACCGATGGAAACAGTGAGATAGATATTTTTGAAGAACAATTTCACCCTCTCTCTTTTCCTCTTTTCTGTGATGGCCTGAGCTGTGAGCTTTTTGTTCAACTGAGGGACACTAAAGGCACACTATGGTTTTACACACACACACCAACGCATGCACATACACTTACACACACATGAAGGTGGAGGTGGCGGGGGCAGAGACAGGAGCTGACAGCTGATTCTCCATGTGTGTTTATGAGGGCTTTGAAGTTTAATGTGTCACGCTCTTTGATGCCCTCTGTAGAGGGGTGTCAGAGAGTGTGTGTGTGTGTGTGTGTGTGTGTGTGTGTGTGTGTGTGTGTGTGTGTGTGTGTGTGTGTGTGTGTGTGTGTGTGTGTGTGTGTGTGTGTGTGTGTGTGTGTGTGTGTGTGTGTGTGTGTGTGTGTGTGTGTGTGTGTGTGTGTGTGTGTGTGTGTGTGTGTGTGTGTGTGTGTGTGTGTGTGTGTGTGTGTGTGTGTGTGTGTGTGTGTGTGTGTGTGTGTGTGTGTGTGTGTGTGTGTGTGTGTGTGTGTGTGTGTGTGTGTGTGTGTGTTTTAACAGGAGGGACCTTGTGAGGAGGTTTGAAGTTCGTACTGTATCTCTCTTAACTTTTCTCCAGAGACTCTCACTTCTCTTCCACCTCTTTCTGCAGCAGGTATCTCAATCTCCCTCTCAAGACTGGAACATTTTTCTCCCTCTCACTCCCCCCTGTAGCCTTTTCTTTTTCTCCCTGTCTGCTCCTCCTCTCTCCTCTCTGGTTGATTGGCTGTGTCGCTGTCTATTTGTTGTGTCCCCGGGGAGAAACTCAGCTTACACTTTATGCAAACATACATTCTGCAATCATTAGCAACATATTTCACACTTACGCTGGGTTTCATTCTGTTAAATATGTGCTTTGGTTTTGGTAATGCTTGCTGCTGCCTCCCACTCTCAGGCCGACCCCCAGTTTCCCTCAAATGCTGAGACGAAATGATTTAACTGTACGTGGCATCGTGAATAAATGCTGGAACATTTGAGCCACAGTTTGTAGAGGATATCCTCTGCTTTGAATGAGACTGCTATAAAATGACTCCATATCTTCTGCGGTTAGTGTACCACAGGAAGATTATGTTCAGCATTAATGACTCATTTTCAACAGTTTATTAATACATCAGCAGACAGAATAAGCGAGCAGGTTGAGCATTCGGATTTGGCTCGCTTGGGTTTTGAGACAATGCACAGCTGTTGTTATATTAGCTACTTGTATTGGGTTGAAGTGTATCAACCGTGTGAGTTATGAGGCAGTTATCTCCCACCATTAGGGCCCCCCTGTTGCCAGCAGTCAATCTCTTGCAGTGTAGTCTCACTTGTTGACTGAATCTCAGTATCTCTTCCTCACTTTCCCATTGTCCCTCGTTCGTTTCTCTAGCACTTACACTCTCTCTCTTATCTCTCCGGTTCTGACTCACTGATTGCAAAATTGAAAATGGTTTTAATTCCACCGGGTTTTTGAGTCTGATTTGCACTCACTCACTCCAGCTCTTTTTTTGTTCTTGTTCTTTTCTGAATTGAATTCAGTTCCTCAGACAAATCTGCTGACTGTCTCTGCTGCTGTGTGTTGTTGCAGGATGAGAAGTCCACGTTCTTCCAGTTCGGTGCCGCTCTGCAGCAAGAGGCTCTGCTCATGCTCTCCATCATGGAGGAGTATGACTGGCATGTATTTTCTATCGTCACTTCCAAGTTCCCCGGGTACCAGGATTTCATCAGCACACTGAAGATCACTGTGGATCACAGGTACATAATGAATACACTCCCCCACAAACACACACTCTGTTTTCATCTTCAACCTTTATTTACGGCAGCTGACAGGATTAAGTACCGTGCATTATTTAATGGTGTTTTGTTGCAGCTTTGTACGCTGGGACCTGCAGAGTGTGGTGACTCTTGATGCTGTAGACGGCGACCCTAACTCTAAATCACACATTGCCCTCAAGAGGATCCAGAGTCCCGTTATACTGCTGTACTGCTCCAAGGATGAGGCTGTGTGAGTGTCTTTTCTTTTCTTCTGCTGTTCCTGTCTTCCTTTCTGTAGCAAATCTTTATTAATTATCTCACTCTGTTCCTTGACAGGTATATAATGGAGGAAGCTCGATCCTTGGGCCTGATAGGAGCCGGTTACATTTGGATTGTGTCCAGCCTCACCACTGGCAACCCAGACTTCACCCCCGAGGTAGTGAGGCCCCATGTGTAGTAACAGGTGGCCACTTTTGAGAGGTTTGACAAGAGCAGGGATTTTGAATCCAAGCCGTTGCAGGTCATCTGCTGCCTCTCCTGTCATATTTGATCTCCTGTATTCTCTACAGGAAATATAAAATACAGAGTTAAATAGATATTGAAATTGTTTTTCGGAGGCAAAATATGCATACCAGCCTCTCTAAAGCTCAATTAGCAACACTTTATATCTTGTTCGCTTAATCCTTTCTGTAGAAAAGACAATTTGTCAGGGTGCCCGACTATCTTACAGTTTCTATTTGATCAAGCGAGACTCAAGGCAGTTACTTCTCTCCACCAAGAAAGCCAGCACAAAACCTCTCGTTTTCACACTCTTTTTGTTCGGATTGAACAAATTAGATACAATATTTTACCAAAATGACCTCTAAAGGTGCTGGAAAGCAGATTTAGGTACTTTCGGAGGCTAGCTGTTTCCCCATGTTTCTTTGCACCAGGCTAAGCTAACCATCTATTTGTCTTATTTTTTCACACAAATACATACATGGTATCAATCCATTCACCCAACCCGAAGTGAACAAAGATTCCCCAACAAAACCATAAGCATAATCCTTACACATTATTGAGATAATTCATATTCACTGGGAACAAATAATTCCTATTGTATCATATTTTTTGTTTACTGCTTTGTTTTTATTCATCTCTTTCGGAAAACATTTTCTCAGCTCCTTAATAGGATGTTTGCCAAGCGTTGCATACACATTCACTCTGAAACTGTAGGACAGCAAGGTAGCTATTATCTGAATAGGATAGTCTTATGTGTATGAATAATTCAAATTACAATCAGCTCAAATGTTCTCCTCACTTTCAAATTTGAAAGAATATCCAATATGTGCTTACATTTACTCAGAAGGCTCTCAAATGTTTATTCTTGTATTTTCCATCATTCTGAAGTCTCTTTTTGGGTTGTTAGGCCTCTGTCTTTCTTTAAGAAGAAGGACTGATTCACATTGGGATTGAAATTAAAATGTATAAACAAGAGTAGATGTTTCTATTTGTACTCATTCTGTTTGAGTAAAATGATATTAAGAAACGTGAACCATTTTTTTCTCAAATGCTTCATTTTTCCTGTTTTAAGATGTAGGCCATACCTGAATGAGCAATTCAGTTTGTGGCTATTCACACCTTTCTCATAACCAGATATGAATAATGCGAAACGGGCACACCAAACCAATAAATCAACTGGCTGACACCTTTACGAGATACATATGGATGCTTAAAACAAATCTAATTGAATCTTTCACACAATATGTCCTCATCTGTCCTCTCAGATGTTTCCTCTGGGTATGATCTCCGTCTCCTACGATGACTGGGAGTACCCTCTGGACACGCGGGTGCGGGATGGCGTTAGCATCATTTCCACCGCAGCCACCGCCATGCTTCGGGAGAAAGGGGAGCTGCCAGAGGCCCAGGGCAGCTGCTACAGCACACCGTCAGACAGGAGCCCGGGGAAGCTGCCACCCAGTGCCCTGCGCAGGTGTGTGTGTGTGTGAGAGAGTGTGAAGAGCTCAAGGTCTAAGGGATTGCATAACTCTGTTTGTCTTTGTAGAGTGTTGAGCAGTGTTATATAAGTCTTTTAAATGTACTAATGAGAGGGGTAGAAGGGAAAGGAAAGCAGAGATGACAGTAGTGTTAAACACTGCGATGTCTTCTGACATTTAACACCATTAGCTTGTTGTGTACATGGTGTATGGGCTCACTCTGCTCCCCAGTCAAAAGACAATACATTGAACTACTGTACAGGCAAACCTCTGTGTTGTTGCTGCCCTGTGATAACTGGGCCCGAGTGCTGTATGTGTGTGTATTCATGTGTGTTTCCGTGCGTGCACCTTACTTCACATGACTGGATTCACCGTCATTAAGTCAGGATTAAAGCAGCTTTTGCTAGCTTTGTTCTCTCTGTCTTTTTCTGGTTATGTGGCTCTGTAGGTGGCATGAATTAGTATGTGTGTCTCTGTGTGCACACACACACATTCATACCAGAATGTGCTCTTCTCCGAAGTCTCTGTGATGAGGAAACAGTAAAATCCTTCAAAAAAGATGTGGGAGACACACATGCTGGCACATTCATTCTGAAAATCCATGATTTAATAATGTGTTAGTGGCATTGCTGCCTTTCAGGGTTTTTTGTGCGACTTTGAATAGGAGGCATTCAGTGGCTAAAATATGATTATTAATTCAGACATCTAAATTAAACTGGCTTTATACATGAAGGTCAGGTTGCTTGGCTCTGCACATCTATGCTGACTTATGAGCTGCCTCATTAGAATAAAAGCCACAGTGATTTTCACCATAATGGCTTTATTATCAAATGTCTCTCTTATTAGCCTATTACAGTATATATCAAAGCATATACAATACCGGTGTTGTTGACAGGTTGATCCAATATAACTCAGGAAGAAAAAGATGGTTCTGAAATAGTTTAATCTCCTACTGAGGTCTGTCAGAGGTACCCCATTTGTTTCACCAACTTATTAGATATAATTTGCATATTTGTCAAAACAACTGCATGCCAATCTTTGTTATAATAAAGTGACAGGTTGGATTTCCCTTCCCTGATTTGGAAGTGGAGAGACTGTGATCAGGATTCTGCATACATTAGTCTAGATACAATCTTGCCGCAGTGTGCATATAAACATTGTGAGGTGGAGAGGAATAGGACAACATAATCTGGCACTTTAAAGACTCTATCAACCCTGTTGGATTGCCTGTCATTCTTGCCTGACAGGGATTAATATCCCAGACTCTAGTACAGCTTATTTGGTCTTCACAATACTACAGGTTTATTTAGATAGTAAATGTATAAAAGGTTATTCTATTTGATGGAACCACTGTACCATACAAACCCCTAAACGGTCACTTTATTCTGAAAAGATGCTCCCTGCCCTAATACAGGGTTTGGGAAGGGGTTTATTCATACTTTTAGAAAGAGCTCACACAATGGCTACCCGAGTGCTTCAATAATAGTGAAATATTCTGTACAGAGTAAAAGGACCCACATTTTAAAGATGGCATTTATAATAGCAGGGTTCTCTCTGTAATGCCGCCGCTAAGGATGCTATTAAAACCGGCCTTACATTTCTGGGTTAATGCAAATAATTTAGCATACTGTACTTTTAAAATCACTGAACCCTTTTTTAATGTAGCTGTACACTTTGCTTTGTTGACATCACTTGGGATCACACAATGAATAAACATGCAACTATAAATATGAATATATGAAGAATAATCCGCCTGTTTTACATGCCTCAAAAACAGCCTCATCTGCTTAGATCAAAATCGTTTTTTTAGAAAGAATTGTAACAAACCTGAAATAGGAGGAGACAGCAGTTTCCCAGAATAGCCTGCACCAGTGTTTCCGCCATATGTGTTCAGCTGTAGAAATGCACTGTGACAAGGGCATCACCTGCCGCACCATGAAGACTTTTCAAACACAAAAATGTCTATTTGTCTAGACATGTCACTTAAAGCATTTGAACCTAGGCACATTCAGTTATGTTGCAGAGAAGTGTCTCTTATGTGAACCTTTGTAGGATTATCTTTAATTATTTGTGTTTGCTGAGAGGGTTTACCCACGGCAAGCTGTTTGTGTTTTTGTAGAGCCTGTGAGGGAGACAGGGACTTTGTATTGACTGTTTACTCTTTACTCTGTGTGAGTGGAGCCGGCTCCCAAAGAGCACAGGCCTGTTTCCAGCAGATGATTAACTTACCTCTCTCTAATCCACTGCCCAACAACATTATGTATGTGTCGACTCTAAATCCTCTCCTGCAAATGAGACAACATCAAATCCCACCTGTTTGAATTAGAGCACAATTATCATAGTTTTTGTTCAGCTGCAGGGCACTTGCTAAACAGCCCTCAAATAATAATCATAATGCTTCTTGACTTTCTGTTGCCGTATTTGAGTTCAGGCTCAAGTCTCTCATGGCCCTGTGCCTGGACCTGCTTACATTAGAATATTAACGCTTTGATCTGTGAATACCTAAAGCATTGTTTGAATTCATTCATCAAATCTGTGTTTATATAAATTATGGTAAGATGTATAAGTCATGAAAATACAGTATATATGCCGAATATTGTGTGAAATAAAAATATGTAAAGGAAAGGTAAAGCTTTAAATCTTTGACTGCTTATATGTTTATATATTTTATTTTTGCCAGATGATATTTCAGTTGTGAAGTGTCACCCATGCAAACAGTGTTTGACAGGGCGTCAAAATGAATCAAACCATTTGTAATAAGTCAGAAAAAAAGGCATCTTAGAATAAGTGTTTTCTTTTTTGGGCAACTGCTGTCGCTTTTGTTATTTGGTCTTTTTAGTGAACTTCCTCGGACAGACCTCCATTCCGCCAGTGGGAATCCTGCTATCATTCCAGTCCTAAACGCCTCGCTTTCTGAAGATTGTTTTACTGGAGTCAGTGAATGTATTCTTAATCCCATATCACTGTGTGTGATACTGGTTCATTTACTCCTCTCCACTGCTTCACTTTCGCGAGTGTGTAAATGTTTCAGCAAAGATCACTGTAGTGAGTAACAGAGTGAGGGCAGCCTGGTTGCACCAGTGGCTTGTCTTTCAGGCGTATATCTGTGGAGAAATCAATGCAGAATGTTGATGGGAGAGATATGTGGCCTCTGACTCTTCCCCCTCCTACACATAAAGGGATGCTCACACACACTCAGGCATGCATGCACACGCAGTGGGTGAAGACAACATTGATTTTAAGAGGATACTCTTGCAGTGATTATAGAGTGCTTAACTCGTTATTTAAAATGTATCTGCTCTTGTGCACTCAAACTGATGCAAAACAAATAACAGCTTCCTCCCTGTTTTTCTCCATTTGTTTTCAGACACATGATGCATGTGTGGAATGAAGACCGTGACTTATCCTTTACTCCAGATGGTTACCAGGCCAACCCCAAATTGGTTGTCATCGTCCTGAATAGTGAGAGGAAGTGGGAGAAGGTAACAAATGAACACAGTGGTTACGCATGAGAGCACGGAAATTAAACAGTCAAAACACTTCAATTAAGATAGCGATCCCTGATTTTGTTTGTGTTTGTGTTTGTGTTTGTGTGCGTGTGTGTTTCCGCACACACAGATGGGCCGCTGGGAGAACGGGACGCTGTCGCTGATGTTCCCAGTGTGGCCGAGGTATAACTCCCACGGGGACGAGGATGCAGATGAAAACCATCTCTCCATCGTCACACTGGAGGAGAAACCTTTCGTCATCGTCGACAACGTAGACATCCTCACCGGCACCTGCATGAGAAACTCTGTGCCCTGCCGAAAGCATGTCAAAGAGTAAATAGACACACACAACACCAACAAACACACAGCACCTACACATTTAAGAGCCACACAACGATACTAACAAAAGGCTGACATTCCCTTAAGTGATCAGCTGATTGGATGTGTGTTATCAGGGGTTTTCATAGTTATGGGTTAGAAGAGGCCTGCTGAACCTACTAGAAGGTTCAGAAATCCTTTATCATATCTTCACATGGTTGATCACTGATATCAATACAAGACGACCAAGTAATAAAAGCAGTCAGGTCATATACTGTAGTATACAAATCTAAATGTTGGGAGGAGGTCCTGGTTGGGGTGCATGAAAGGGTCAGTAAACACTTTTACCAAGGAGACTACTTCATGTCCCGTATGAATCCAAAACTCAATATTGTGATTTTTTTAAAGATCATTTTTCCTTTTTAGTTTATTTTAATACCTATTTTAGTTATCTATCAACCCTACTTATTTCAACCCAAAACATGATCTATTGCTACAAAAACACGTAGCATTGTTGCCTTAACCTAAACCACTTGTTTTGTTTCAACCCACAACGTTAATCACGCAGGTGTTTTACTTAATCATTTTGGGGGTAGGTGCAGTTTGCCCATATTTGCCCCGCCTAATGCATGGCAGTGGCAATGATAACCAATTTGTTGAACAATATATATGAAAAAAAACATCTCATATATTCAGACATGCACAGGGGGTTACAGGAGATCCAAACATGGCTATTTAATGGTGTGATACCATTCTGAACAGGTGTAACAATTATCTAACAATGTAGCTACTCCTGTTTTTCTAGGTAGAAAGAATATTCAGTATCACACCTTTTGTTACCGATCTCAATTTGTCTGAGAACATACTCGTCATTCATATGCCCTTTGCTTGTCCACTTATGATCTACAAGGATTTATACTTGTCCCACTCATTTTTACTTTATATAATACTGACTCATCATCTGTTTGTCCTCGACACTGAAATCCAAATGTATGCAGCTGTATATGCATATTAAGGTAATATATTCACATTGTGGTGTTGAAACACAAGTTAAAGGAGTCCCATAATGCTCAATTTCAGGTTCATACTTGTATTTAAGGCATCTATCAGAACATGTTAAACATGCTTCACTGTTTAAATAACACATTCTTTTTCTCATACTGTATGTCTGAATATACCTGTTATCACCTTTTGTCTGAAACGCTCCGTTTTAGCACCTTCCTTTTTGAGCCCCCCTCTCTAAAAGGCCCTTTTCTACACTTACTGTATGGCGCATTTCCACTACAGCTTTAAGCGTGCCGTGCCGTGCCGTGCCCGGCCCGTTTTTGGTTGCGTTTCCCCTTGGCGTAGTTCCGGCTAGCGGGTACTATTTCACAGTTTTTCTGGCCCCATAAAATCGAGGTTCTTTCCGGGCCAACAACCAGGCTGAGTCGGGCTGAGTATGCTAAACTAGAGAGAGAATCGCTGGCAAGGGGGCTACAACTACAAAATGAACATATTTGACCGTGATTTAATTGTAATACACGTTTCAAAATGATGCCCGAAGTAACAACATACTGATACCGGTTAGTAAAAACCATGAATTAATGCTTTGACAAGTCTGCAGACAGACGGCAGGCGGAAAACCTTTTAAAATGCGTGTTTTCTGAATGGAGATCGGCTAAGCTAACGCAGTATGCTCCGACCGTCCACACTCACAACAACGGCCTATACAGACATAAATAAATCAGCGACTGTATTCGCCATGACACAGGCAGTCTGTGGTTTGTACTTGTTTAACTTTTGTCTAGTTTCTGAACAGATATGAGGAGCTGTGAGCTTGAGTGCTAACAGCTAACGGCTGCTGTTGTTTTTCTGGGGTGCTCATTGAAGATGACGTCACGGCTCCGCCTACACTGCGTTACTATAGTTACTACCCCAGTTCCTAAACTGTAATGGAAACGCAGCATAAAGTGAGCCAGTCCTAACAAGGCCTAACGAGGCCTAGCCATACCGTTGCAGTTCAGGAATGGGAGAAACTCCCTCTGGAGGGAACTTTGGGATTTTAGCCTTTGAAGACCATTTACATGCACAAAAACCTATATAACAGACTACAGGAAAGGGAACACCCCAAAAGCATAATAGGGCCTCTTTAAACAATTACTTTTTGTATTTAACGTTGTATGAAACTTGTGTTAAAAGATGGAAATTAGGCATTCTTTTATGGTAACTTCTGGTTAATATATACCAACAGACAAAGTGTAGTTACATAAACTCCAAAATCTGTATTTAGGATATGTTCTTTCTCTATTCTGAAAGAACACATGTTACTGAAACAAAATAGCCCAAACAACAAATTGACCAGTGAATGAAAAACACTGTGTTTGCCTGTAGCGTTTCTCCTTAATATTAAGATCACAAACTCGATGGAGCATGTTACAACTTGGCCGTCACTTTATGCATGTTCCACTATAAGACAAATAGGTCTTTTGTAGCCCCAAGTGTATTTTTTAAAAGGGGAAAAGCTGCATGTATTGTATTCCCATCAAAATCATTGCAGTTAATTTTAGATTTATACATAACCACTCTATATGTCAGCTCTTGCAGCCAAGATGTACATGAGTGATTTTCCTCTTTTTTCCTCACTGTTTTAGTTATTTGACAGTTTTGTTCAGGAGTAAAACTCTAATCCAACTTCTGTCAGAGAGTCTAACACTTACCGGCAAAGTAGCTCTCATTTGGATCAGGGATAATCAGTTCTGTCAACATTAATAATGAATTGCTCTCTGTTGCTGTCAGCTCGCTAATGCCAATCTGTCGGTGCACTTGAGTTTTGTTTCTGCTACCAAACTAATTGCATGTGTTGCCCATTCTGCTCTTTGTTTCATTGCTCCATTAATTCAGTGTGATGCATGTGTTGCTTTAGATTTACAGATGGTGTTGCTCGTTTTAAATGTTACAGTTACTAATTATTCATAATTCAGTAATACTGCTTAATGTATTTCTCTTTTGTATAGACACATTGTTTTTATTCTTTATTTTGTCCTACATTATTTACCATGTGGCCAAGTGTGGAAGCAAAGAGAGGCTGTGGCAAACTTAACTTTGAAGTGTAACCATAACTGAATACTTCATGACGACATTTTAATATGGTGGAACTTGAAAACAATTTATATGAATTTCTGTGATTTAAATTTCCCTTGTTGACATTTTTTAGATGGCAATTTTCGTGCATGAAACAAATTTGTTTCAAAAACGTCATATTTAGACATGGAATATGAAATGGATTACATGAGACTGACAGAGCATAGCCCACATTTGTAGATGTGACTTTTCAACTCGAATTGTGTTGACTTTTCATTTTAGATCCAAAAATGACCTGAATATAGTTTATGATAGTGTAAAAAGTGTAAAGCTTGTGATTAACTTATAAACCATCTATTTTGATTATTGCGTCACTTTAAAAGCATAAACATCAACATCATTATTTCCTTGTTTCAGTTTCTCAGCCATGTACTTGTAAAAGCAGAAATATCATTGGATTTTAGAAATGTCAGAATTTATTTCTATCAACCAAACATTAAATCAGTTAATGGAGAAAATGTTCTGTAGATTAGACAATAATGAAAATATAAAGTTTTTCTTAATAAAAGACCATAAACAAATGCTTTTCATTGAAGAAAAGTTATTGTTTTTCTACCGTCACCTTTTCTAGTGTGGCCATTGATCAAATACTGTACATCTTTCACACATCACCAGTGATGTTAGCAGGGGTCATCAGGTGTTTCTGGTCATCAAACACCCTCGCCCTGGTGACCCAGTCATGGTTCATCAGACCATGTTTGTGTTCAGGTGGCATTAGCTCCTCCCCATGGACCTCCTCTCCTCTCCAACAATCATCCGTCACCTGTTCGTGTACCCATAATATTTTGTCAGGCCTAGCAGACCCAAAGAGCTAACATTTCTAACTCTCTAACATTGTAGCTGCAGATACATTAAACATGTGTCATACCCAATCGTTCCCATGAGACTGAGACTGTCTCAGCTTCCATTTGAATAGCCTTGGGACGAACAGCTCTGGCACATTTACAGTAATGCCTGTGAATGTGCAGTGTGCCTTAAAGAGAAAAACTATAAATACATAAATCTCAGCCTGAGCTGTAACTTGAGACAGCAAATGAAAAGAGGTTTCATGTGGGACGCAGCCCAACCTTTTGTCATCTCCCATCTGGACTGCTACGTCTCCCAGAACCCCGGCTCGTAAACTATTCTGTTCAGCCACTACAGACCATCCAGCGCGCTGCAGCATGCCCTTTCTGCAACCTCCCTAAGTTCCCTTTGTCGCCTCCCCACGTGTTCGACCCCCTCCCTCCCCGCTGGCTGCCGGTGGATGTTCACATCAAATTCAGAATTCTGGTCCTGGCATTCAAGGTTCCTCAGGGACTTTCTGCCGGCTCTGGTCTATCCGCACTCGCCTCCCTGCGCTCTGCTACCGGCGGCCACTTAGCGCTCCCTCCTTGCGGCAGCTAAGTCATCGTCTCACCTGGCCTTGACTCTTCTTTCTACCGCTCCCCAATAATGAAATGTCCTTCCTAATCCAGACGGGACAGCACAATTACACCATTTCCTCCATTGTAGAAAAAAAAGGAACTGCCTTTCTTCCCTGAATATCCCAATTCCCCCATATCCTCCGTCTGCATCTGCTATTTGGAAAACATCCCTCGTTTTGTTTACTTAGACTTTTTAAATCTTTTTTTAGCATTTCTTTATGAAACATCACTTCGGGATCGCAGGAATATTTTTTTTTCTGTTTGGCTCGAGATAACAGTATCAGCTAATGGAATAGAAATGTTTCACAAATTCATCTACGACTTTGTTGCACTGCTTCATCAAATGTGATTATCTTTTATGATTATATACAGTTTTTTCTCCCACCTCACCACTCACCACCTGACTGCATATATATCACTTTGTCCTCTGGGACAATAGCAGTGGGCTGAATGGCTGAAATCATCCTTTCTTAGAAGAGATATTGTTTTAAATTCTCATCACAGTGAAACTAATGTATGTAAAACATGAAAGAAGAAGACAAATCCACCATTGAAAAGATGAATGCAGTGTTTGACTTTAATCAGTTTGAAGTGAACGTATTCATGCTTCAAGCAACTTAGTAAAGATTAAGTCTTGTGGAGCGCTGGTCATCCCGCAATGTATGCATACAGCTTGATAGATTCATTTAGAGATTTAATTTATAATTTCAATTGCTTGTGATTCTTTTTTACATTGCCTATATATCAAGATTTGATGTGTCAGTCCAGGAGAAAGCTTAAGAGTTATATTTCTTTCAGCAGCAACATGTCAAACAATACAATGTACTTATCTCTTTGAATAAATCTTCAAGGCATTTTCATTGGGGCTGAAATATGTTGCAGGCCTTCACGTGTGTGTAAACAATGCAGGGATATTTCCCAAGCAGTCAGTGGAAGTAAAACGTCCTCAAAGGTAAATCTTCTGGATTCTTTGACATCTTGGGTTTTACTCCAATTATCTGCTATATGTGGACACCTCAATGAGAGCTCCTGCATGACGAGAGCTTTGCTTCTCTCTGCTTTTTCTACTATTTAGCTCACATCTGAGCTCATCTGTATACAGCCAGTTCAGGGTACATCCTGTAAGCGTTAATCATAATTGCTGCAGGTTTGTTTGCCACCCGCTCCGGGCTGCTTGATGATCATTTAGCCGCAACACAGTCCATCAAAAACCCATCTTTTCTCATTTTTCCCCTCTCATGACTGACAGCATTATTGTCAAAACTTCTATCAATTCTGCCACACAATAAAGAAAAATATGCATTTTTCAAGATAGCTATTTAGATAGAATATAATAGGAAGAGAGTCCTTGTTAGCCACAAGGTAAATGCAGGAAATTCTACCGTAATTACACTCTTTGAAGATTTATTTACCTTTTTTATCAAACAGAATCCACCATAATAAAAGCTTTTTGTGTCAAATGGGTTTGGGATGACAGACAGGAGATGCAACACAACAACCATTGAGTTTCTGACCCATGCAGTCACGACACTGCAACACTGTAGGCGCACACAATTAGACGACTGAATCACAGCGCATGGAAAGTTTAACTTGTTGTGACCCGATATCTTAACCTTCCTCGGGAGCGTTGGCCGCACAAGTCTGAGCGGTCGCCGGCCCCGATGACTCGTCTCTTCTGGGTCATTTTTCACGTTACATTTGCTTTTTTCTGTGTCCAGCCATCCATGCGCACATATATGCGTACATGCATACATCCAACCAACCATAAGGGCTACATTTACTCAGTCACTACTTCCATTTTATTTGTATGGGCTTGTTGTTACAAAAGCACAACATGAATCAAACAGATGCACCGTATGTGCGTCTTGGGGATGCTGTTGTTGCCTTGTGTGTGCGTGTGCGTGTGCGTGTGCGTGTGCGTGTGCGTGTGTGTGTGTGTGTACATAGTGACATAAGGACACAGGGAGGGCTCAGCTGGGAAGAGCTAATGTATGCATTATGTGTGCATTAGAACACCTGGGGGACATACTGCACATACACAGCCTCACTCACATGTATGTGCACAAACTAGGCTCTCTTTCTCTCTCACACACACACACACACACACACACACACACACACACACACACACACACACACACATGCAGACACACACACTCTGCTGTGCTGCAGATACAGTTGACTGCTGTTAAAACACATTTTAATCCTTTGATGTTTCAGTTCTTTGACAGTTGTTCTCGGTGTGTGAATCCCTCAGTTCTTTATGAACTTTCTCATGAATCAGAGTCGACTGAAATGGCAAGTGAAAAGGTCACAGAGTCACTGTTCAAATCCATACATGTTACAGTACATCAGAGATGGATGACACAGGCGAGGAATAAACTTTTCATGAAAATACTTTTAAAAAATGCTGGTAGAGTTTAATAGATTATGAGTATCATTTGATCCAACAATTCAGTTTAGTTCACAGCTCCGAGGTCCTCAGGGAGGGTTGTCAGAAAAGTGTACGGAAACATCTCTTTCCTTTCTGTTTGTAAGGCGGCCGTGGGAATGTACAGTAGGATCGAGAGTTTTGGAAAAGCACTTCTTAACAGACATAATCAGTAAAACATAGGAAGAGGAGAGAAAAGGACGGGGAGAGACGAGGCGCAGGACAGATGATATTTTAATCATGTGGGTTGGTTGTTCAGCTCTATTTAAAGCCCAGCAGCATCTGCTCAGCACCCCTGTGTTTTCAGGCACAGAGGGGAAACACATTCCCACACTCACAAACTCCATACAAGCTCTCTGTGCCCTTTAGCAGTGTTTATGTTTACTCAGCACGATCATAATTCTAGTTTTACAGTTTGATGGAACCACCAGATGTGGAGCGAGCAGGGGTACAGTAATACTCACATATTCCTCGCTTATATAACACTGAAATGTCCTACAATATAAAAGAAATATGACCTTATTGTTGATTGTTTCTGTGTGTTGCAGTAACAGCACATCATCAGGAGGTTCCTACATTAAGCAGTGCTGCAAAGGTTTCTGCATTGACATTCTGAAGAAGATAGCGAGGAACGTCAAGTTCACTTACGACCTCTACCTGGTCTTAAATGGGAAACACGGCAAGAAGATCAACAATATGTGGAACGGCATGGTTGGAGAGGTGCGTAATACTCGTCTGTCCTTTACTATAAAACCATATCGTTCTGACCTTCCATGTAATTATTGTGAAATACGCTTATCCAGCCAGCAGCTTGCTTAGCAAAAAGACTTGAAACAGAAGGAACGTGCTAGCCACTATCTGTCCAGATTTAACATAAATCCACCAACCATCACCTCTATAGCTTCCAGTTGTTATGCTAAGCTTGGTTAACCCACTGCACTGCTGTAGTAGCTTAATATATGTAATGGACAAATGTGAAAATGGCATTGACATTGTTATCTAAGTTTTGGCAACAAAGCAAATAAGCTTTCAAGTCAGTGTAGTTATAGCACAATGAAAAACATAAGGACCATGTGCCTTCAGGTTGAGGCACATGGGTTAGGATCTACCTTAATGCAGGTATACATAAGAATTTAAAAGTGCATAATAGATACAATAAATACATCATGTAATACAAAGAAAACAATAAGGAAAATATAATAAAGGAAGTTGGGAGAAATAGACTTAAAGAACATTGAAAAGCAGCAGAGGAAGTTAGAAATAAGTAAAGAGGGAACTCAATAAAAGCCACGGGCAGATTGAACTAAAAGGAAGTGAAAAAATATGGGTCCTCAAATTAGATTTCAAATATTTAATGGTGGAACAGAACTCAAGCCGAATTTGTCTTGTCAGGATTAGTCCTTCCTTCAGTCGGACTCGTCATGGAATACTTATTAAGTATAATGATTGAAGGGTTTTTCTATATATCATTTATTGTATGTCAACAAATACCATTAAACCTCCTACTCTGTGTTTTGCATATAGATTAAAATGTATGTATTCCTACTTGGGAAGTAGTGGGTTGTTGATAACAAGAAACTGTATCAGGCTTAAGATACAGAAATGATATTTGTAAAATAAGTGATTAATTGCTGGTTTGGGTCTTTCAATGGGATTTGTTGACTAAAGAATATGGAGTACTGCTATTAACCTGTTATAATCATGGTTGCACCAACACATCTTAACAAACAGGACTGAATGCATCACTTTTAAATGATTCATAGATCATTAATAGATATTGTGATACTAGATACAAACATATAAAATATAATGTTTTCCTATGCTTTCTGATCATGTGTTTCTGCTATAGGAGTAGAAAAAGGTTTTGATTTTGAATACAACCACTTGTGAATCACCCAAAAATGCTAAATTGTTATCATTAAATCCCACTGTATTATGCATTACTCATGTCATTTATATTTCCAATGCTGCTTCCCTTTGGGGCTTTAAAATCCATACCATCAACTATTTAAGTGTGCGGATGATAAAGCTCTTCGAGGAGCCAGATACCTTGAGGCTCAGTTGATCATTATCATTTATCTTTTCTAAAAATGATTTATTCAATCACAGATGAAAAGCAAGGTTTTTTTTAAAGTAAAATCCCCAAAGGTCGAGATTAAACACATAAAATGTCCGATAATGGAAACTCAGAGTTTGATCCATAGTTGTAATGTCTTCAGGAGAAGACGGCTATGAGCCCTTAGGCAATTAAATCTGAAGAAGAAACATAACATTATACTGCATCGTAGTGATGACATCTTTATGTGCAGACTCTCCATCTGTCAGAAAACATCCAGACACCAGGAAATGGTCGCACAACGAGAAAAGACAGCTGTATTTTTATTTTTCAGCCATAAATGCCCTCCAACTAAAGCTGACATTCTGAGCTTATACCCTCAGTCACTGTGATATTTCACGTCCCAAAATAAAACCATATCTGAGACGAATGATGTTGTCCAAATGTTCACGGAGCTCACTTTATTTATTGTTCTGTCAGTGAGTCCTGTACGCAATGCTACCTTTCTGTCTTCTGTCTACCAGGTGGTGTACAAGAAGGCGATAATGGCGGTCGGTTCGTTGACTATCAATGAGGAGAGGTCAGTGGCTATTGACTTCTCTGTGCCCTTTGTGGAGACTGGCATCAGCGTCATGGTGTCACGTAGCAACGGGACCGTCTCTCCTTCGGCCTTCCTCGGTAAATCTTTTATTTTTGTCCTCCTTAACTATACATTCTTTCTTCTTCATCTTCTCCTCCGCTTGTGTGCAAGTGGGCCGACAACTGGGAGCAGAAAAACAGAGGAAGGGGTGCTTACATGTTGGCAAAATCCTGCACATAAAATAGAATCATTTATTCAGACAGTATACATTATGCTGGCCAAATTCCACTTGTACTCTGACTTTATCTGGGCCTCAACACCCTGAGCACATTAATATGTCTAGCAGAGCGCAGGAAGCAGTGTGCCAGATGTCTTTTGAAAAGTCAGCTTCAGACAAAGCATTCTTGATACTATCCTCTCCTCCTCCCATCCTCTCTCCTCCTCCTCCTCTCCTCCAGTTGTTCAGATGACTAGAAACTGGAGCGCTCTTCTGTGCTGGCCTAATGTCTTGTATTGTCATTGGAGCGAGACGAGGAGCGAGGGGATGTATTGGACCATGCGTGTGTTGGTCCCTGTGTATCAAGCCATGTGTTAGCATGCATGTGTGTGTAAGGGAGGGGAGGGAGAAAAAATGTGTGTTATACTGCACGATTATATTAGGTCTTTGTGTATTGAATCAGGGGTGTGTGGAGAATGGATGTGCTCTGGCCGTATGTATATTAAGAGGTGAATGCTTTGTGAGTGTATTTATATGAAAGCACATTGTATGCATGTGTGTGTGAGTGTGTGTTGAGCCTGGGCCAGGGTATCAGTGACGGTTCAGTATCTCTCGCACTCATATTTGAGGCACCTCAGTGCACAATCTCTCAGGGTTGGCTAACCCTGGCAGTCACATACTTAGACACACACACACACACACACACACACACACACGCACACACACAAACACCATAAACACACCACACACACAGACACACACATTTTGTCTGGGTTCAGCATCTCTGGCACTCACCCCCCGCTCTCTGAACTCCTGCCCTGCTCTTCACCAAACACATTCAGACACACATGCCCAAATCACACACACATAGATCACGTACACATGCCCGCAGCAGGGCACATCAGATCACTCAGGGTTTGATTCTTCTCTCTCACTCTCTCTCACCCTCTCTCTCTCTCTCTCCCCTTCCTCTACGATCTCCCCCGCCCGAGGCCTCTCCCTCTCTCATCCAAGGGAATAATGAGAAATATGGAAATGTGCTCCGTCAAACTCTCTGTGACTAACTCTCCCTCTCCTCCCATCCGCCCTCCCTCACTCCGTCTGTCTCCCTTCCTCCCTTTCTCCCTTCTCTGTGTCTTTCCTATTATATTTTCCTCGCCTTTCTCCCACTTGTGCCTGTTCTCTTTTTTTGAGTGTTGTTTTTCCAAGTTTGTCACCTCTTTCTCTCCGTCCCTCACTTTTTGATGCATCTGCACTACAGTGCATCATGAACTTGATTCAACTTTAACTCTCTCTCCCCCCCCACCCTCTCTCTGCCTCTGTCTCTCCCCCTCTCAGAGCCCTTCAGTGCATCAGTTTGGGTGATGATGTTTGTGATGCTGCTTCTTGTAACAGCCATCGCCGTCTTCCTCTTTGAGTTTGTCAGTCCGCTGGGCTTCAACCGCAACTTGGCCCAAGGCAAAGGTAAGCGTACACACACAATCAGAAATATCAAACCGATCGTTTCTCCCAGGAGCGAGAAGCACAGATACAAGCTTCCCCTGGAGCGAAATAAGTGACCTATTATTACCCAGACTTTAGACGGTTCACTTGATGTAAGCAGATCTCTCCTAAAGCTAGGCACATCACCAGAAAGCAGGTCCTCAAGCTGGCTCAGAATAATGCTGTAAAACTACATTTTAGATTAATTCAACATTTAAATGACCTAAAGGCCGATCTAGGTGTTACAATGGAATCGTGTTTTTTTATTTCTAGCCCACCTGTACATAATACAGTAAAACTCAATGTGTTTAGTTGGCACATTTTTTATCTTACACACTCAATGAACAACACATTCCCAAATAAAAAACTGTTTTATAAGTATAATGTGTTTCATCTCGAGGAGAAGAAAGTAACTTTAAAATAAAGGTTAAATATTTTTTGGAAATAGACTAATTGGCTTCTGATGAAGATTCCTAACACTCTGATGTTTATTCAACACAATCTCACGGCATTTCGTGTTATAGTCACAAAATTAATCTATTGATTCGTGTTCACCAACACGATTTTCGCATTTTTTTCGTGTCACACAGAACGATTTTAAAAGTAATGTAAATAATAACAAATTTGAAGGAAAAAGAGATTTAAAAAAATAAAGATTTCAGTATTCTGACACAGAACAATTTTAGAAGCAATGTATTTATATTGGTAGTATGTTTCGTGCCTGCATCAAATAATAACAAATTAGAAGGACATTTTTTTTTTTTAAATACAGATTTCAGTAATCTGAGGCTCTGAGCCATTTATTTTCCTCGCGGACGGCAAAAAAACTCAGACATTATACAATTTTAAATAAAAGGGTTAGGGTTAGGCTTAGGGTAAGATATTGAGTAAGAAAATGTTTTTATGAACCACACAGCTTCTGGTATTCCAAGACCCGACCGGACAAAAAGACGTGGTGCAGGCACAAAACATACTACCAATAGAAATACATTGCTTTTAAAATCGTTCTGTGTGACATGAAAAATGCAAAAATCGTGTTGGTGAACATGAATCAATAGATTAAATTAATTTCGTGACTATAACACGAAATGCTGTGAGACTGGGTTGGTTTATTTGCTAAATGTGAAGCTACAGCCAGTTAGCTCAGCATGAAGAAGTGAAAAAGGTGGAAACAGCTTGCGTGGCTTTGTACAAAGATAACAAAATACATCACCCAGCACCTTTCAACTCTCTAATTAACACGTTATACCTCATTTCTTTAGTTTTTACAAAATCGAAACAATTAAAACAACATGTTGGTTTATTTGCCGACTTAGCTGGGAGCAGGAACTTCTTGGAGTCCTGTTGTCACGGTGAGGTTGCCAACCTTCACTGACTGTGAAACTGAGCCAATTGGCGGCTGTCTTTCGCTAAATATTTACCAACATAACTACGAATTCCTTAAGATGTGTTGCTGCGGTACAACTCTGCAATCACAACTCTCTTTTCTCTTCACCAACACTTTCTATCGGTTTTATTTTTATTTAAGTACAATTTAGTGACTGTTGAACCTCTTCAGTTGCAGTGTGTGGTGTGTTTCAGGTGCAAATTACTTCACGAGTAGCAGGTCTAAATCTCTTAAAGGGGACCTATCATGCAAAATGCACTTTTGTACGTCTTTTATACATGAATATGTGTCCCCGGTGTTCCAGGGAACTCACCAAGTGTCAGAAAACACAACCCTCTCTATTTTCCTCCATACCCAAATATCTAAAAAGGGGGCTGCAACGGATCTGATAAAAACTGATCCAGATTTGAACACTGTCCTGACATCAGGAAAGTGGCGCTACGGCTATTGGGCCAACTCTCCACCTATCAGGGGAATGTGGGGTTGGGCCACGGCCGGCCATTGCCGCTCGAAAGCGCTGGAGACGCTGTAGTACATATGCCAGGCCTGTAAGTGGCGCTGTAGTCTGCCACAAAAGCAGCGAAGAAGACTTCCCGTGCATGGTTGCCATGGTTCCCCTTCTGTTTATTCTCCGCTGTGGCTTTCTTTCTCCCTCCCAGAGGCAAGCGTTTGCTCCTGCTGCTGTAATTCAATGTAATCCCTCCCCGTCGAGGCAAGCACTGTAATTCTCTCCGGTTAGTCCACCAGCAGATGACAAACACCCACCTCTCCGCCTCTTCCAAGGAACGAGGGGACCGTGCGGCAGAGTTTCAGTTAGGTTTTCTTTCGCCAGTCAAGATGTCCGTTAAAGTTTAAATCTTCCGGACAAAATTAGAAAAGTGCCGGTCAAAGGTCTTCTTTGTTATTTATTGAGCTTTAAAACAAATGAATAACGACTCTATATAATAATATAATAAAACACGGAGGACGGAGATCTATTTTTCTCCCGCTCTTCTGACTTGATCAGAGCACGGCTCCCCTCTCCTGCAGGGGGGCGTGGTCAGCTGCAGCTCACAGAATCAGCCCCCTGCAAAAACAGGGCTGGAGAACAGCAAATAGAGCGAAATGAGGCATGGCTAAAATGCATGATCTGTTTGGTATTTTGAAAACAGAAACGTATAAATATACCTTATATAGGTATGGCCCTACAATATATCATTTAAATATAGCATGATAGGTGTCCTTTAAGCTTATTTTAATCGTTTTTTTTCTTTTCACAATAAGATTTTAGTCTGAAAAATTCTCCTTTTAAATCTCCTTGTTCAGTGGTTTACTTTGTGGATTTGACTTGCTAGAAAGGTCAATATCTTGGTTTATAAATGTTGGTCTTTATCAATTAATCATGGTCATAAACCCAATTTAATGTAAGTCGTCTGCAATGACTGTTGCAAAATGTGTGAGCTGTAGGTGTAAAAAAGGAAAGCCATTATTGCTGTCACATTAATTTTACAATGTCACCCCTCCGGAGGAAGCGTGATGCCCTCAAACTGGATCATAAACTCTTTGTTTAACTTCCCTTTTTGGACGGTCTCATTGCTTGCTGTTAAATAGACGATGGCTATGGTATGATGATTTGCAAAAATGATGGTCTTGGTAATGAATGACTAAGGGTTGTTTTAGCTACTGGAAGGCAGTAGTAAGGTAGGAAAATATAACAATTACTATTTTAATTTAAACTTTGAATTCATTACCTGGCTTGCTGTTTTTTTAACCCCAAAATAAGCCTCATATTATCAGAAACTTTGTGACCCTAAGGTTGGAGACTCTTCAACCGGCTTTGGCGTTTTTTCGCTGCGTAGTATTTTTTACACTCCGTCTTTTTTAAATGTCTCCCTCTGCTTCACTTCCTCTCTCCGTCAGACCCACATGGTCCATCCTTCACCATCGGTAAGGCCGTCTGGCTGCTGTGGGGTCTGGTGTTCAACAACTCCGTGCCTGTGCAGAACCCAAAGGGCACAACCAGCAAAGTCATCGTCTCAGTGTGGGCCTTCTTCGCTGTCATCTTCCTGGCCTCCTACACTGCCAACCTGGCTGCCTTCATGATCCAGGAAGAGTTTGTGGACCAAGTGACTGGACTGTCTGACAAGAAGGTGCGAACACACACACACACACACACACACACACACACACACACACACACACACACACACACACACACACACACACACACACACACACACACACACACACACACACACACACACACACACACACACACGCACACACACACACACACACACACAGAAGAAACTAAACACAGTCACAGTCAGGGTTGCTCTTGTAATGGATGCCAGCCCTGAGGCCAGACAGGGCTCTCCAGGGAACGCCCTTGGGCTTCAACAGCCCTAACCCTCTGGCCGTAGCTGTCACCGCACAGCGGTGCCAGCTCAGGCTGCACATGGGCTGCATGGATCAAAGACGTATGTGTGTGTGTTTTGTTTGGATGTGTGTGTGTGTGTGTTTGCAGAAGCTGGCAGTGTCAGCAGAACCCCAGCCAGTCTTACGCTAGACTGGACACACGATGATGATGACTGATGAGTCCACTCCACTGTCTCTCCTGCCTCCTCTCTCCTCTGTCTCCTCTCGTCACTCTCCTTTCTTAGACTCTCTTTATTCTCGTACTTTTCTCAAACTTCTTGCTGTTTTTCCCCTCCTCTCTTTTAGCTTCATTGTTTCTTCTTTTGTGTTCCTTCTGACAATTTCAGCAACAAGTATTTTTTCTACCATTGTCTTTATTTATTTTTCACATTGGACGATAACACAACACCTAAAAGAAACTTCACGACGATGATAAAACTATGAATTATAGAAATTAAATTACAAGTGAATGCAATTAATACAAATAAAATACACAAATGCTTTTGTCTCAAATTAAATGTGTCCCTCTTTTCCCTTATTTCTCTCCCTGTAGTTCCAGAGTCCGTATTCCTATTCGCCTCCATTTCGCTTCGGGACGGTTCCTAACGGCAGCACCGAGCGCAACATCAGGAAGAACTATCCCAATATGCATCAATACATGACCAAATACCATCAGACTGGCGTTGTGGATGCGCTGGTCAGCCTCAAGACTGGGTACTGTGAACTTGTCAATTCAACCCATGTGAAGTTGAGCTTTATTATACCTGAAAGGCTTATTCTGTTTGCAGACAGCTAGTATTCATAAGATCATGTGAAAACAAACACACAAAAAATACATTGCATCACACCGAAACTCAGCCCCATGGGGCCCGACTTTACCTCATGCTAAAATGCTGCAGAAACTGTGCTCAGTGTTTCTGTCAGCCACTGTAAAAAGCAGACGCTGCCTGCAAGTGCTCATTATTGAGTCTGTTGCTGCTGGAAAGAGGGAGCTGCCAAAACAGGGAGAGAGTAATTTGTTCTGGAGTTTCCTTTATTCTCCCTCCTAAACATACACTAATGGAAGGATGGCTGCAGTGCTTTTATTTGTTCATTAGTTTTGTGTGCTTTGATCTTTGGGGTATTTTCTTCAAATATAATTGTACTTTTTTGCTTTTCCCTCTCTGCAATTACTTCATTGATACTGCCTTTTCAAGTAGATTATGTTTGTTTCTCATACCTTATACATTAGGCTTTGTTTATACAACATCAAAACTGTATAATGAATGTGTTCAGCAGAATAATCAGCGTTTAATTCAATTTTTCAGCAAAATTGTTTAGGCTGAAGAAAAAGTTAACACTTTGGAGCTCTTTTTAAACTCATGCAATTAAATAGGCAGTGATACATTTAAAGCACTCTTCACTTTAATGAATCTGCAGCGTTTTGTTTTCAGATGCTATGCGCTTTAAATTAATGACTTTTTCTGTGCATATTCGCAAAACAGATACTCAATGACTGCATTTAACATATGCCCTTTGGTGAACAGTTTAATTCAAAGTGTTTAATATTAATGAATAAATCTCTAACATGGAGAGCCCCAAGGGGGTTGATTAGCACTGGGGTGTATTCATTAGGTTATATGTACACTAAGACTTATTTTTGCCGATAAATAAGTTATAAAAATAGATCTGCAGCTATATAGGGTATCAGCTCGTGTTACATTTTGTTTGGTTAATGGTCATTCATCATGCCGGTGTTTTTTGCTGAGCTCAGAGGTTACATTCCCACACAGGAGGACTGTTGAGTCGGATACAAATGATGGGCTCCTTAGCTTGAATTCAGCTTGTCTTGTCAAAATGATGACAAAACCTGCAAGTAAAAGATTATCTCTCAGTGTGAAACAAAGACATTATCGTGCGTGTAAACTGCAGCAGCGTGCAGGCCGGACAGTACTCTGTGCCCCATGATCCATCATCTGATCTGAATGAGAATTTCGGCTCCAAGAGGACGCAGTTGTTGTGATTAATCCTATGGGTTTGTTTATGGATCTAATGAACATTACTACTGGCACCACAATGTGTACATAAGACTCAGCAGTGTGGGGGTCTTTACTACTGAATCCTGATGGATCACATTTCACATTGTCTTGTTTTAAAATACATTGTGGTGTGTTTGCTAAGCTAACTGTATCCTGGCTCATGTTTCACATTCATTAGACAGACATAAGAGAGCTTTCAATCCTCTTTAACTCTTAGCAATAAAGCAAATGTGTCATAGATAAGACAGCGCCAGCATTGTCCTTATTACAAAAGAAAATGTGAAATGTTCAGGACAAGCAGTTCATTCAGAATTGATGTCCTCTCCCCAGATTTAACTAAATATGCTTTTATATAAGCCTGAATAATGTAGGCAACAATATGCACTTTATCTAAGATGAGAGAAGAAATGTTAAAAAAAAATGGTTGCAGAAATATTTTAATTTTCTGTCCTTTCATTTTAATAATGTAATGACCCCTCAGATGAATCATCCAAACGCTGGTGCATGTAGTAAATCCAGAATGTGTGGTTCTCTTACAGAAAGCTGGATGCTTTCATTTACGACGCTGCGGTGCTGAACTACATGGCGGGCAGAGACGACGGCTGTAAGCTTGTCACCATCGGCAGCGGTTACATCTTCGCCACCACGGGTTATGGTATCGCCTTACAGAAAGGATCCTACTGGAAACGCCTGGTTGATCTGGCCATACTGGGCATCATAGGAGATGGTGAGGCGCCCGCACATGTCCTCATTCTGCAGCAGATCAGTCACACTGCATTGAAGTTTAAGTTTCTCAGATGTTCCCAGCCTTTAGTGTTATTACAGTTGTGCCAATGCTCCGCTTTCCCTCCTCCCTTACCCTCCCCCAACACTCTCCCTCTCCTCCCTCCTTCTGTCAGAAGGCTATCAGGGGCTAGTCTTAACACACCATTTCATCATCATTACTCTGTGTGTGTGTGTGTGTGTGTGTGTGTGTGTGTGTGTGTGTGTGTGTGTGTGTGTGTGTGTGTGTGTGTGTGTGTGTGTGTGTGTGTGTGTGTGTGTGTGTGGTGTGTGTGTGTGTGTGTGTGTGTGTGTGTGTGTGTGTGTGGGTGTGGTGTGTGTGTGTGTGTGTGTGTGTGTGTGTGTGTGTGTGTGTGTGTGTGTGTGTGTGTGTGTGTGTGTGTGTGTGTGTGTGTGTGTGTGTGTGTGTGTGTGTGTGTGTGTGTGTGTGTGTGTGTGTGTGTGTGTGTGTGTGTGTGTGTGTGTGTCCGCCCGCGCGTGTGTGTCCGCACGTGTGTCTGTGCTTGTGTGTCCGCGCCCGTGTGTGTCCGTGCGTGTGTGTCCGTGCGTGTGTGTCCACCGTGTCCTGTAATGTTTACTCCTCCAGATTGTTCTGTATAATAAGCTGTGAGATGGTGCGAATGCAAGAAGGAGAATGAGCCAGACAGAAACCAAATTGCTGAAACCACTAAAGCGCCTCGATTCACACCCGTCCTTTTTATTCAGGGCAAACGTCCGCGTGCCCATGCGACACACAGAAACACTCAATCTGATAAAATTCCCCCCATCTTTGCTTATCACTCCATCACTATCAATTCTCTCTCCTTCTTTCTACAAACCCCTTTTCTCACTCCACCTCCTGTCTCCTTTCCATTACCATCTATTTACCACTTCACTTCTCTCACCTCCTCGCTTTTCCACTCCATCTTTCTTCGTAATGATACGCACTTTTTCCCCCCGACACCTTTCTGCTTCCCTCTACCACCCATCCATTCCCTCTTTTTCTCAACCACTATATTTTTCTTTTCTTTTCTTCCTCGGCCCTACCTGCTGCATTCTTAAACTTTTACTTTACCACCTTTCCAACAGGTGAGATGGAGGAGCTGGAGGCGCAGTGGCTGACTGGGATCTGCCACAGTGAGAAGAACGAGGTGATGTCCAGCCAGCTGGATGTAGACAACATGGCGGGTGTCTTCTACATGCTGGCCACAGCCATGGGCCTCTCTATCCTCACTTTTATTTCTGAACACCTTTTCTACTGGAGGCTGAGATACTGCTTCACTGGCGTCTGCACTGGGAGGCCGGGTCTGCTCTTCACTATCAGCAGGGTGAGGAGAGGGAAAAGTTTAATTTCCCACTGCAGGAACATCGTCCAGTTCTCTGCTTCTGAGGCAGTACTCTCAGATGTTACATTTTCAGCGCTGAAAGCGACTTACTGATCAAACACCATCCTCCAGAGTGCAGCTGATGTACAGCATTGATTCAGGCTGTAAGAAAGCACGGGTTGTTGCAACATCAATATCAGGACTCGGGTTGGGAATTTTTTGTAACGTTATTGACAGTTTTAAACTCTAAATCGGACTCGCAGACTACTTTAAAAGAGTATGAAATAAAGTGAGAGAGCAGGGAACAGAACAACTGCAAGAGGAACAAAACCTCTCTGTATTTTCAAATTGTTTCAATGCGGTTACATACTGAGGCAGAAATACAACAGACCAGCACATTATTGCGACTTTGAAGGCAGCCGCGGAGCCTTTGTGGTGTTTAACAACATCAATTCAAACATCACAGTCAATTACATAAATGATTACTCTGTTGTCTGTCTTGTTGTGTGCAAAAACTGCATCTCGAACAAAGCGGTCTAATTTGCCTAATCTTCACAGTTCTTCAGACGCAAAGGAAACGCACATAAAGGACCTTTAGTTGTGTGAATGCCTGAAATGTGATTGTGTGTTTGTGTCTTTGACGCACACACAATAGTTACTGTTAATATAAAGAAGGAGTCTGGGTATGTATGTGTGTGATAAACGAGAAAAGAGGAGGATATTGTGATTATGGAGCCCAGCTGAGGAAGAGATGGATTTACTGCTGTGCATATGGATGACAGGAGAGAGGAATCAAGCTATAAGAGGATGATGTGAACACACACTCATACAGTATAGACACACACACACAGAGCTTGCTCTCTCTCTCAGCCAAACACATAAGTCTGTTCTAAAAAAGTTTTAAAAAATGGTACCACAGGTCAGGGATGGACTTTACCGCTCGGGGATACAGAGAGATGGACGCGCACACATTTAAACCTAAATATTCACACACACACAAAACAAAAATGGGCACATTCAGTCAGACCGTTCTTTCATTATTCATGTCCCATGTCTCTGTGTGAGGCAGGGCTTTTATTCCAGACGAGCAGCATTTCACACATTAAATGTTTTACAAAAATAGTGACTGTCTGTGTGTAACTGTGTGTGTGTTAGAGCGGCGATGCTGGAGGTTAAGTGGCTCCAGGAAGAACATCTCCTTGCACTCAAAGGCCCCCTCCAGTGACATCATCACCTAAATGTAATTTTCTAGGCGCCTCTGAAAGCAGTTAATCTTAAAAAGTGGCGATTATCTCTACTTGCCACATTACAAAACAAAATGAGGTTAGGGTTTGCAGTAAAGGCGCAAGAGAATCGGATGCAGAGGTCTTTCTTAATTTACCGTGTTAGGAAACTACTCTTGTGCATGTTTGAACCTTTTCTCTTGTGAAGTCAATGGGTTGGGAATTAACCATTTTATTATCTCTCTCTCTTCCCTGCCTCTCCTTTCCCTTTTCCTTTTTTTCTTTCTTTTTGTTTTCTCTCCTCTCCTTCTCTCAGGGTATATGGAGCTGCATCCATGGAGTTCATATTGATATGAAGAAGAAGAATCCTGAGCTGGATTTCAGTCCTCAAGCCAACATGATGCATCTGCTCAAGTCTGCCAAGTCCATGGCTTTGTCTTCTCCTAAACGCAACACTGTGCTCTTGCAGCCCAACATCCTAGATGTGATGTCGGGGAAAGGTACTATAACACTTGTACACCTCACAGCATATAGTGTATTTTACCTCCTCACAGAGCAGGTAGACATGGCACCATTGCTCACACGTACAGAGGTCACCCTGCCTTTCCTAAACAGTCTACGTATGCATATCTAAAGGTGACTCCTTTCACCTTTTTGTGTAATCGCATCGACTTTCATCTAAAGGCTGGCCTTATGATTATAAACACATTAGATGGCACACAAACAGCGTGCTAGGGATAGCCAGTAGATAATGTATCAAACGGCTGAGCATCCATCTATTGTATCTGCTGTCTGAGGTGCATCTCTCCTTGTCTCCTAGGTAACTCTCTCCATCTGCCCCCGAAGGGTCCTGGTCTCTATAGCAACGCCGCTGGTCCGCACAGTTTCTTGTCATTGTCCGGGCGACATAAAAACCTTCTTAACAATGCTGCGCCGTTCCCTGTGCAACAGAAAACCCCCGCTCTTCAGACGAGCCCCAACAAGCCCCAGCTGTCAATCACAAATGACAACGGCAAGACCCGCCCCATCGGGCTGGCCCTCGCTGCCGTCCCACAGGGCTCAAAACCTCGAGCCCTGTGGAAGAAAAGTGTGGAGACGTTGAAAACGCAGCCTACTGTCGTATCTCCAGGCCCAAGCCCCACCCCGGCCGCTGGACCCGGACCCCCACAGATGAAGAGCCAGCGCTACCTGCCTGAAGAGCCGCCACACTCTGACATCTCCGAGTGCTCCAGCCGGCCGCCATCACACAAAGATTCTGATTCGATGGCGGCCAGGGGCGGATTCAAGCCTATTAATCAGCTGAGGAAGAGAGGAGGGGTAGGAGCAGGAGGGGGAAGTGGGGGCGGAGGATCAAAGATGTACTCCATTGACTCAGACCAGGCCAGTCTGCAGTCAGCTCCCCCCTACCAGCGAGACAGCCAGGGGGGAGGTGATGACCACACTTACCCCCCTGACCTGTTTCCACCTGACAACACATACTCACACACTCACACACTCTCCCACCAGGCGGATGCGCCCATCTTGCAGCTGAGTGCCAGCCTGCTGCACCACAGTCACAGCGCGGAGGCCGACCTGCACTCCCTGAAGGACAAGAAATACAGCACCTACACACACAACAGGTATCTATCCAGCAGAAAAACACCATGTTTCATGCTGTTACAGGTTTTATTTTTTGTGTATAATCCGTGTTATCCTCTCTCCCTGTAGCTCGAAGGACAAAACTGGAGGTTCATTTGAAACTCCGGGCGGGGGTCAGGGGTCACAGAGCGTCAGACCCGGACACTGTCGCTCCTGCCTGACCAAGCTGAGCAGTTACTCCGGCCTTTACACCGTCCGCTCCCCGGGGGCTCGCTGTGACGCCTGTGCCCACCTGGGAAACCTTTACGACATCAGTGAAGACCACCTGCACTCGCACTACTCCCACACACACACTCACCCACACAGCGGGGACATGTTTACACACTATCTTCCCCAGAGCGAGCTGGGCCTGGTGGGCGAAGGGGACGGGCTCGTAAGCCACTTTGAGCCCACCCCTTCCTCCCCGTCTCCTCTCCCCACCTCTTTGTCGGCCCAGCACCTTCAGCTGAGTCGCCAGCACTCCTATGAGAACGTGCTTCCGGACGACGTTCCCGAGCGGCAGTCGCAGCTGCACACCCACCTGCGGGGGCTGAGCCTGCCCGACAGAGACAGGGAGCGGGAGCGGGAGCTGGACGAGGGGGCCTACGCTAACGTCCTCACCATGCGCTCTGACCGTCCCTTCAGCAGCCGCAGCCCGCCCTCTCCGTCCCCCTCCCACCACCACAGCCTCGACGCCCCTCTGCCGCTCCCCCGGCGCTCCAAGAGTCTCTTCCCCGATCGGCCCTCTCACAACCCTTTCCTCCAGTCAGCGCCTGGCACCACACAACGAGACCCCTCCCCGCAGTCTGTCACACGCATGCCGCAGAGAAGCTCAGCCCACGAGCTCTATAAGCAGCGAATGCCGCTGTCGCTTACCCTCGGTAACCATGGCAGCCATCACAACAACCAGTATGGCAGCCTTGTCGACCAACAGGTGTTCTACCCTCAACAGGAGCCCCCCGTGGTGGCCTACATGGTCCCACCTGCCGCCTCTCAGCCAATGAGCTATGTGACAACGCCGCGAGCCTCGAGCGCCGGCGACAACCGGCCCCGGCTCTACCGCCGCATGCCGAGCATCGAGTCTGACGTCTGAGACTCGCACGCAACACACTTATCTCACCGAAACACACTGACACACACGCATGCAAGACAGAGTTGTGTGTGACAGGACCAGGCAGCTCTGATTCTAAGCGCATACACGGTAACACACACACACACACACACACAGGTGAAAGATGGGAAGGGAAGGACTAAAGGTTAATGGTAATGCCGAGTAAATAAATAAATCATTGTTTCTTTATCGCTACCCTCTATAGGGCAGGGTTAGGGCCACAGGGACACCTGGAGGCACAATACAAGATGAAGAATGTGTGTGTGTGAGTGTCAGTGTGTGCACTAGCCTCAAGCTGTAAGGGGCACAAACTGACAATATGTCCGACAAGACGGATCGAATCCATGGTGAAATAAAAGAGACACTGTGTACGGAGTTTTAACGGCGACAGTGGGATCTGATGGAAGAACAACACGTGTGTTTGGAAGACGAGCCGACTTGTCCCGCCCTCTCACTAGCGTCTTAGAGATGAAGGGGACTGACAGAAAACCCCTTTCTTTCTGAGAATACACACACACACACACACACACACACACACACACACACACACATATTACAGTTAAACACACCCGCCTCTCTCCAGGACTCTCCTCTTGCACTATGATTTCTACAGTCAACCCGTATGTTGTCTGAGCCTCCAAACTGCACTGCCAGCATGGCTTAAAGAGTAGTAACCTACACTAGAGTAATCCTTGACTTGAATGGAAATTACTTTCTTAGTAATAGACTAGACTGGGCGGGTCAGGGCATAGGTCTGAGATGCGTGACGGCTCCTGCCCGCAGATGTACAAACACTCGAACATACACACACACACTGTGTCCGTTTTTAAAGGGGAGGGGAGCAAAAACTACCGACTGTTTGCCTGTAACCGTTGATGTCAGTTAATTGAACATTCCAAAAAGTGGACCAAACATGGCCGCCGGTAAAAGCCTATCAGGAAGAAAGTGTGTGTTCTAGTGTTTCTAGATCTAAAGACATACAGTATAGCATCCTTGCTTCCTTAGCTAGCCTTCAGGTCATACTGCATGCTTCCTACTGCCCTGTGTTACAGTTAAACTCCTATACAGGGTCATATATGCACACACACACAAACACACATATATGCACATACACACACATGCACATACGCAGTAGTCTAGGATAGTAGATTAGGGTGGGTGTGTGTGTCGAAGCTATGAGATAGCTTCTCTTTGTGCACTTTGTAGATTTTATACCCTGCCACCTAACACGGACGTTTGACCAAAAACACTTTTGTACTGAAAAATATGAATATTCTCAATCATTCGCTGGATAGATGTTTTCCTTTTTCTCTTATTTCTCTTTGACATTGGGTTTTAGGGCACCGTTAAGTTTCCATTGTAAGGTCCGAAGTATAACAGTGTTAGATAAATGGGTACAGCATCATACAGTATACACAACTACACATTTGTATCTTTCTTATCTTTTTACTTTTACAGTGCTCATCTGCCCCTTACCAGCCTTCCCTCCTTCCCTCAACAGCTTTTTGTTTAATCTCTTATTTATTCATTTTTTTATCATTCCCTGCTTCCTTCTATTATAGAGTAGATTGAGTATCAGAAGAATAAAAGTTCAGTCATGGTGTTTAAATCTCAGCATATTGTTGGAAATCACAATATTAGTAGTAGTCGCTAGAATTCCTCAAATTCCACACTGGCTCTCGTAGGATACAGTACTTTTATTCTACTACATTTTTTATGTTGAATTAAAGAACTGTAGGCCCATTTTCATGTTTCCATAGTGAATTTAGAGGCCGAGTGCATCACTGTTGCAGATTTTCTCATCAAATGAATACTCCTGGACAAGCGTCAGAGTAGCTGGTACTTGTGTGGCTCTCTGTTGGCGAGAACACAGCGCTGTGTTTCAGCTGAGAGTCACGTGGCAAAGCAGAGAGTTTGCAAAGTGACTCGTTACAGAGGCAACACTCACTCATATACACACACACACACATATGCACACACTCGACGAGCTAGCAATGTGTGTATGAGTGTTCCAGAAATCCATAATCTACTGAGTAAGGGCATTGATTTTCGAGCACACGGATTTTGATGGAAAAAAGACTTGATATCCCATTAGCTGAGCGTCTGTGTCTATTATCTTTCTGCTCTATTCTCTTTTCTCTCCCCCCCTCTCTCTTTCTCTTTCTCTCCCTCTCCCTCTCTCTCTCTCTCTCTCTCACACACACACACATACACACATTTATATATATCGGCTGTGAAGAATGCAAGACCGTTTTGAACAAAAAAACGCACCTTTTCAACGGTGAACGCTGCCCCTCTTTTTGGTAATCTTAACAGGTTTGGTGTGTGAGTTATATGCACAATATCAGGTTGCAATATTATACTTCTGTACAGAGAAATCTTTGTTTTAAATGTTAGAAACTGATTTTCATTTGTTTGATTTGAATGGTATTAAGTGTTGAATTCATTTCAATAACGACGTGGCTTTTAATTCTGCTTCTTTAGGGAAAAAAAAAAAAGGAAAAAAAGACTGGCATGTTTTTAGATTCTTGTGTGATTTATTTTTCCTCTGGTGTGTTGTTGGTTGGGACCTCACTGTACAGTCCTCACTGCTGGGTTAACAGGCTAGTTAACTATCACACCAGTTAACTATAGCAACACGTAGCTGGGTCTCTTATCTGAATCACACTCAATGAATAATGATAGTCCAGCCTGTGTGGTTATAATATAAAACCCCCTCCCACCCACATAGTTCTCTTCCACTACGAGTCTGTGCTGTTTCACCTCTGAGTGTGAGCGTGTGTGTGTGAGAGCGAGTGTGTGTGTATGTGTTTTACACTGCGCAGGCATTTATATAAGAAAGAGGATATGCGTATCAAGAGGTTGTTTGTGGTGTGTGTTTTTGGCGTGTGTATACTTTTCCGTACTCTCTTCGGTTTCGTCCCACACATAATATTTGACCCGGCTCTTACTCATATAACTAAAATACAGTTTTACACACACACATGCAAACACACACACATGTTGCGTCTGTACTAATGTGGTTAAGAGAACATGTAATGAGATGTGTACGTCCTCCACCATCACACAGATTTTTAAACCAATTTTATTGTTTGATTTTTTTTTTTTTTTTTTTTAATTGCATGACGTGCTTGTGTTTTTGGTGGTACCTATTTTGCTGCAACACCTGAGTTCTCCCTGAGTTGACCTAACGAGGCTACATGTAACGTTCCCCTCCACCCTGGTTAGTGCACCTCAACATGAGTGGAGCCCAGGATCCTTCCACAGTCGCACCCCACCGCCTGGAAAACGTCGGTCCCGGTACAGTTCTCAGTTCGGTGAAGGTGAACACATATTATATACAGTACCGGGTGGAAGGGGTGCGTTGGTGTGTAGTCCTCCAGGTCTCCCTGCCGTGTATCTCACTTGTGTATAAGTTCAGGGGTTTCTAAGCTACTAGTTGTGTTTGTAAATAATACCTTGTCACTCAGTACCTCTGTACAATCTGTAAATAAGTAAAGGTTACATTTTTCTACTTGTCTGGGTCTTGTTGATTAATCTATCTATATATCTGTCTGTATGTATGTCTGTTTTCCTGCCCAGCAGTGCCTACATGTACCATGATGCATTGCATGCAGGCTTCTCACACCTGGAGGGTCCCCACTGGCCATTCATGCAGCTGAAACCTAAACCTCTTGCCTGCCGCATTTCTTCTGCCGTATAATCTGGCTGAAATAAAGACACCTGACTATCAGTCAGCCAAAATGAGCTCAAATGTATCCTCGTCCATCACATCCTCTGCACCTATAGTTAAAGATGAAAACATTTTGGAGCTAGTTTTCATAACTGGAAAATAAAGTGAGAAAGGTCTGGTGTTGAGAGCATGAACTGGCTTCCCAGAGGCGGAGAATACAAATCCAAGCTAAATATTTAGGGGAAGGAAAATGATTTTGCAGCTGAGCTTTCTCACTCAAAATAGCACTGAGGGGTTGATTTCTTGAATTGAATACATTTACCATTAAAACTGATTCGACATCCACATGAAAGGGGGAGAATATGTCCTTAAATGTTTAATAATACAGATATGAATGCTTTTAGGTCATCAGTCATTGGAGGATGCAATATCAAGCTTAAGTTGGATATCTTATTTTAGTATAGCACACAAACCACAAGTTGTAGTTTTTACAGATTAAAAGAACAGACTTGACCTTGATTGGTGATTGCCGAGCTTCAGAGATATATGTAGTAATGTGTTGTAACTATTGGACAGAGCCAGTTGAGTTGTTTCTCTTAGCAGAAGCGTCATATTTACCATACACTAATACCAGCGTGGTATCGATCATCTTTTCCAACTTTCTGCTGGAAGAAAAGTCAGTGCTGAAACTCATTAGGAAGTTGTCAAGAATGCTAAAAATGTAATTAAAGTTATGTAGGACGGCACACACCAGACTGTGACTCAAGTTCATTTGGTCAGACAACCAAATTCCTAAGATCCAAGGAAATTAACTTTCAACTTTAAGGTTGCCTAAATGAATGATAACATAACTGAAAACCTAATGACTCATTGGAAAGTCTGTAATTTAGAGTTTTCTTACTTTCTAATAAGCTATCATGTCTTGAGTTAATAAATTGAGTTTATACATTGTTAATGAAGGGATTTTGGTCTGGACACTCGAGCAGCATGGCTCTGTGGATGGTAACGTGATGGTCGTTGTACACTGAAGTATAACCCAGCAATTATTTGAAGGATTACCTTGAAATGTTAAACAGACATCAATGATCCCCACATGAGGAATCTTACAGACTTTGATGTTCTTCTGACTCTTCTTCGTGCACCACCATGAGGCTGACACATGTTTTAGTGACTATTGGATTTATTCCCATAACCTTTGGTATTTAACATTCATGTTCCCCTCAGGGTGAATTATAACAACTCTGGCCATTTATTAATGTTCCATCTTGCACCATAAAGTGACCAAAACCTGCAAAGAAACTAAATTCCCATCATCATGTACTATACTTTGAGTTTAGTGCTGATTAGCAAATGATAGCATGCTAATTGGCTAAACGTGAATATGTTACAGATTGTATCACTTTATTCTCAGCAGGTTAAAGTTGTCATTATGAGCATGATAAAACACTTTGATGTTAGCATTTAACGTGCAGCCTCACAGAGCTGCTAGCACGGCTGTAGATTGCAGAAGGTAAGTGGTGAAATTGAAGGTGATTTTATTAAAGCGCTCTGTTAAACAGTCAAAAGTCAGGTTATGGATAAACAACAGCCACAGGGATATTTCACAACATGCCAGCTCAAAAGTTGTTTTAGATAATGGCTTTTACTGATCTATTAGGACATGTTATACAACTTATAAACAATGTATAAAGTTTGCATGCTATGTATCCATCTATTTATTTATTTATTTATCTGTCTATCTATCCAACTATCTCTGCTGGGGCTGTCTACTAAAAGGGCTTTTTAGGATTCTTCTTCAAAAGGGCTCTTTGCCCCACTCTCCGAAGGCTTTCATAATGCACCCTTAGCATGAGTGTG